TTGTTTCATTCGTATTCTTTATATCAAACCAACCGTTCTAACGACCCAATGTTAGATCGTGGTGGCTACGTGAAACGCATATAAAATGCTGCGCTTGCGTTGTGTGCGTGGTACCAATCAAAACCAAGAATCCGTAGGGATAGTCAATTTACCAGCATTCATCCCGTGCCACTAGTTCTCAGGGTTCGGGATACACCCAGTCCTGGGTCCACAATCGGTGGATACGATAAAACCAGTCCCTTCATTTTGACTACAGTTTGGTAGATTTATAACCGTTGACCTTTACACAAGAGGACGTTCAAAGTGGTGAAACTAAAGTTGATTATTGTTAATATGTACCGTGACAGATCGCAGCCTAATTCATTACGTCATTTCCAAACTTACAATTTCAAAAAAATCATGTTTCCCTACGGCCTCGACATATTTACTCAACGGTTCATTCACTCATCCATTCAAATACTTTTCACCGCTATTTTGCATGTAATGTCCAGTGGAGTTGCGGCTGGTCGAGACTGGTTACTCTCAGGCATTGACGTGTTATTATATAGGTGAGGTGAGGTGAGGTGAGGTGAGGTGAAATTAGGTTTAACGTCGTGCTTGAGAATATTTCGCTCATATGACGGCGTGCATGCGTGTGTATGTGTATGTGCGGCTGCTTGTACTAGCCCAGACTTCAGCTGGTTTTATGAAGACCCCACTCAGACACATTATACTGACTCCGAACCGACCAGTCCTTGTTGTACCCATTAATGCCGAGCGCCAGGCAGGGACCAACAAGTACCATATTATAACGTCTTTTGGTATGACGCGGCCGAGGATCGAACCCGCGTCCTTTCGCTCTCCGGGTGGACGCTCTAACCACTACGCCACGGAGGCGGTGTTATTATATAGAATGTCACACTAGTGCATTACCTTATGTATTTAGCGAGATGGTGTCATGGTAGGAGAGAAACAACGGGTTCTTCAAGCTTATTTATTACATACCAGTTTCGTGACATGGCCTGTTTTAATCTAACTCTTAACGTTACTATTGAAACTTCCGCATTGAGGTTACCGTGACTTGAATATCACACCGCGCAAAGGACGAACCACACATGTATATATTAGGGCTACACAATATTACCGGTTTACCGGTATTTACCGGTTCAAACATGAAAACGATACGTATTGCGATACGCTGATCGAAAACCGGTATTTTGACTTGCATTCGGAAAACTCTTAACACTCGGAAACCTTGATGATTGTGGCAACTGTGGTAATGGTGGTGGGAATGATCGTGGTGAAAATTACATTCAACTGGATTGTTAATTCGGTTTAAAGTTGTGTTCTTAAATTTTGTTGAAGATTTCGCAATGTTTTGGATCTGAATGTCTTAAATATTTACTCATTAATGATCAGTGATCTCTGATGTGTCCTGACCAGGTCAGTTGCTGTCTAAAATCTCAGGGTTCTTTTTTTTTTAGAGAAAGTGGAGAAAGTAGTTCAAACTAGTAACCACTGTGTTGAGGTTAAATTGTTCTTTTCCTTGTTCCATTTGTGCCAAATATCAGTTACAGTTTTATTTTGTCATAATTAAAAGTTTTTATTAAAGCTTAATCAAGCATAGTGATTTTGTTGTGTTTTTGCTTTATAAATCATGCATGAACGCGATTATAAGTAGTTTTTTGTTTTAAAAAAACGTCTTGCAATCATATGTATTGCAATACATATCGCAATATATGTGCTTTAGCATCGCAATATGAAAGTTCTCTGCAATACCCACCCCTAGTATACATGTACGTTAGATCGCATTTCTCCTATTGACGTCGACAATGAAGTTCCAGATTCTAATCACAGAAGGACAAACGTATGTCCAAAGTATACCCTTGTTCACACGGAAACATAGCGTTTGATCAACAACGATTGGTCCAGTGCAGCCGCTCTTGACGACACGTTGTAGTCATGTGACGTCCCGTCAATTGAGGGACAACACGAGGACGTCTCCTACCTGGGGCATGCAAGAGTTCATCTCCGAAGCCGAATACGAGTCGTCTCTCCACTCACTCTAACAACAGAAGCTCTGTGAAGCTCATCTCCAATCTGAGAGGCTCTTTGACCACGGTTTCCTAACACATTCGTCTGTCATAAACGTTATTTGTCTGTCTATGTCGTGAATATACCCTGCTAATTACTGACTTTGAAACGGTAACATCTCCTGCTGATACAATGATCTCTCTCGTTTTAGCATCCAACATGACTATTGCACGTAGCCGTTCCTGACGTTACAAACGCTGCATGTTAAAATCCTGTTTAAATTGACTTTAAAACAACACCATTATATCTTTGTCTGGTTTTAGTCTCTGGAACAGCAACATCAATGACAATGAAACGCTTCACTGTAAATTTCGAATTTTACCACGACCATGTTCACGAGCCCATGATGAAAAACACTTGCAGGAATTTGACGTGTTTGCAGGAAATTATTATCCACTGTGAATGGAATATTTCCTACTTATTCTTGTCACTGCGTCATTGCTTGGAATATTTTATGAACGCTTTCCATATCCAAAACAGAATTAGAATGGCGCTATGTCCCCTGTATAAACAGGAAGTTGTAAGAGCGCATGCCAAGTACTTGTGCTTAGTTTGCATGGATCTGACAAGAATCAGCGACGGTGATGTTTCTACAGTCGACATGGTAATTACAGTGTCGAATTCTTTCGTGTTCATTTTCTCAAATCATCCTAAAACGTATACTGCAGATGTGTGCATTGTAACTTTACTAAGTCTTTTCATGAATGAATATTCTAATCGTGTTACTAGCAAGCGTTGGAATTGGGACCGTACACCTTTTGTTCCCTTTATGTTTCAATTTTGTCGAAAAATGCTTTAGCAGATGGATAGTGAAAGACTATGCGTCTCATATCATATTATATTTTGGCGTTCACACACACACACACACACACACACACACACACACACACACACACACACACACACACACACACACACACACACACACACACACACACACACACACACACACACACACACACACACACACACACACACACACACACACACACACACACACACACCAAATGTACTGGCTAGCTATTGTCGAAATGTTCGTAGCCCTACAAACGCCTTAAGCCCATTCTTAACACATTGGCTACGATCAAAGTTAAGAAAGTTTCGAGAATAAGGGCCCTGATGATATTTATCCTTTACTTTGAAGTGGAAGTGTCACAATGGAGTCAAACCCAGTATCCATATTGAATTACAAGTGAATTAAGTCAAGTTCCAGAAACTCTTATATTCGTTTTCGTAACTCATCTTACAAAGGCTTTCCAAAAGATATCATGTGTGATGCACTGTTTCACATAACACAATATCCATGCAAATTTAATGTAATTACTTTCTAAAAGTCTAAGTATATCCCTATGTGTCAGATCGTAACTGATTCCATATGAGATTTTTATGCCTTGTAAAATATGCGACAAATATATCTATATTAACCAGATGATTTTGGGTTGGTTACAAACTTACATAGAAATCTAAAGAAAACAGGTATAAGTAAAACTGTAATTGCCCATTGAATTCATTTTAGCAGACACACCTTTACCTCTGTTTCTTTAGAGATGATTATTTACTGATGAAATGTAAAATGTTTTCTTTTTCTCGGAAAAGGGAATCGTGCTGAAAAATATTTCAACTTTCTTCCATTATATGTTACATGATAGTATGTTAATAATGTTACAGACAAAAGATCCATGGTTTCTCTTACGTCGCTAATGTTTGCATGGCTGTCTGACAATCCATGTATCATTTCTCACTTTCATATGTTCAGGTAAAGATCAACCTACTGGCACCTTCATTGTGGGCACCGCCATATCATTTTAAACATGTAACTCATTAGCTTTTGCCAGAACTCTTTAAACAGTTTTTCAAGAGGTTATTTTGTAGCTTCAGCGGGTGAGAGGGGTACAAGGTCAGTTAATTTGTGTTCATCCCATCCCCACTTGAAAACTAAGCTGTAATAATTTTGATGACATTGATAATATTTATAAATACCGATAAGTAAACCAACGCCTGTTTCAAATAATTATGTTTATTTGTCCTTTCAGATCTGATGTAAACTCTGCAGTCTGGCATTTGTTGAGAATATTTTGGAAGACAAATATATCAAAAAGACAAAATGGTGCTTATGTGATTTGTGTATACTTGTCAGTTATGTCACGGTGTGCCAGCTTGAAGTTGGTGGGAATTATGCAGACATTGAAATTTAAGATCACATGGTACTGACTTACATGGAAACATAATCGGGGATATCAAACCGACGATCTTTGCCCTGACAATTCTCTTAACACTGAAGACCCTATCCAAGACAGTAACAAGCACCTATGTTTACATTCCGTCACGCTATTTGATAAGGCATCACGCAACACTGTTACGACATGCAAGGGTTCCGCAATGTCATGTTTGATCTGTGATTAAGGCAGTATCGGTCAGCAGCTACACAAAGGTATTATCGTCTATCATGTGTAGTTAGTGACTTGGTAAGTCTGAGACAATCTGATGTTGATATCTCTGAATGACAGTGTGTCTGTTATGACACGACCATTCTATTGAATATCACTATTGAGCACGAACTACTTCACGTCCTATTCTCGTGTGCTAAATCTGGATATACAACTGTTATACCTGTGAGCCATTGTGATTGTGTTGATGGCCAGAGACAATAATCAACCTACGTTTAATGTACTGCAATATCCAACAGAAGGAATATACCACTTGGAAACCGTTTGGATCAGGCCTGCTAGAACAGTTTTAACTAAACGTTTCTTGTGACATCTAATGTATTCCACCACCATATAGCTGGAATATTGCTGAGTGCGGCGTAAAAAACTCACTCACTAATGTGTTCCGATTTGCGAGTTATTTGCTTTGGTCTATAGTTCTTCTAAGTTAACACGGAGAGCTTTGACCATTGTTAACTATTTTTTGAGAAAATGAACAAAATGGTTTCATTGATGTCTGTGGCTGTGTGTCTGTTGACATCGCTTGTGAGCAGCCAACGCGCTCCCACGTGGGAGGAGTGTGACTGTGAATGGGACAACTGGAATCCTTGGTCCACTTGTGATGCTCAGTGTTTTGGGAAGCAGCAACGCTCAAGAAATGTTTGGATGATCGACAGTTGTTCGGGTTTCGAGTACTGCGATGCTGGAGCAGGGGGCTACGATGATCAAGCCTGCAACACTGTCTGCACACATGGTTCATATGACTCATCATCTGGTGGGTGTCAGTGCCCGGGTGGGAGATACGGACAGTGCTGCACCGACGGTAAATATTACTCGGATGGAAGTAGTGTCTTAGAACGAATTTGCCCTCAGATTTTAGAGCAGGTCTCCCAGAGCTTACAGCATAAATGAGAAAACTAGAACGACTTGGCAAATCTAGATTGCTTCAGCTATCGGGAATTCAGATTGGCTATTTATTCATGTTTTCTACAACTTTTTTTAGATGACTGAACTTTATTTCTGTGACTAAACGTCAGACAAAAAACCCTAAAGCACAACTCCCGTTTCCGACTAATATGAATAACATGGTGGGAGGACATGCAGTATTACGTTTTACCTCTGGATTATTACATTTTGATGCAGTTAGTGTGGGGCGGTGGGGTAGCCTCGTTCACCAGGTTCAATTCCCCACATGTGTACAATCTGTGAAGTCCATACCTGGTGTCACCCGCCGTGATATTGCTGGAATATTGCTAAAAGCGATGTGAAACATACTCAGTCACTCACTACTGCAGTTTGTTACTGTGCACGGCGTTAACAAAAATTACGTCGTGTCCCATGTACTCATGTTCGTTTTTGAAAAATTATAGACACGCCCTTTCAGTTATGTTCAAATCATAGTATTTATGGAAAAAAATAAGTATTTTTATCAAATGTGAATGTATCTTGTGTATGAATTGGAAATATCACTTTTTACTGTAGCAATTCTTTTTGATAGCGTGACACCCTTATGCCTTTAAAAAGTGGACCTTTTAAATTTAGATTTAGACAAAGGATTACATTTTCTAATCAATCATCATGATAGAAATATATGTGTAGGTAAAAAAAGGAAGAAATAAATTCTGCTTTTTACAGCAGATAATTTTCTTTGTCATTGAACAATTGTGGTATCTGCGTATACACACCAATGATAATAACTCTACTTAAAGTCGGTACATTTCAGTTCATTAAACCACCACACAGTTGGTGCAAAATGAACTATACTGGCACGAAATATCATGGCACAGTGGATTCCGACAGAAGTGAGGGCTGGAGCTAGACTAATGCTTAGTCTCTGAATATATATAATTTTGAAAGTAGCAAACAAGACCATTTAAATTGAAAAGGAGCCCCAGGGAGACCAGAGGAACCTGAGGAAATCTAGACTTGCTTTATTTAGGGCATTAGCACTGCAGATGGGGCTGGCAGCAGGGAAAATAATGTGGTTCAGGCACTGTGAGAGAGACTAGTCTGGAGCATGCACAAGAAGGTTCTGTCTGTACACTCTATCAGCAAACTGGCAGTATCCTCGACCATGTCAACCTCCTGTAAACACGCCAGTACTCTCGCCATGCGACTGCGACAATAGGCCGTTGAACATCTGTGCCACGAGCTGGAGCGATATGAATGTGAACATCAACGTCAACCTGCAAAGGTGACCTTGACCTTCCAACAGGATAACACATCACTGCTTTGAGATGCATTTAGAAGTTGGATTAGTACGGAAGATTACAATATATGGGTATACATCTGTAGGCAGTCTACATTACCCGTCCGTGCGAAGTCCATGCACGCATACGCAAGGCAGGCGGTTGCCACACACGGATGGACTGTCGTTACTGGGGCAGTCATGAATACCCGTATTTGTTTCTGTTACTAAGGACGCCTCGTTCACAGTATTCATATAAATATTACATTGATTATTGTGGTAATATTAAAACGTTTAGCCATTTGTGTAGCTGACATACATGATGAGAATAAAAATACTATGTCTTTTCAAAATGTATCAAAGAATATGTTTGAAGTTAAAATTTGCTTGTGTCTCTTCCGAAGGATTTAACGCGCAGTACGAAATATAGTTTGAAACCTACGAGTAATGCATACATGATAGATGCGATAAGATTTGATAACAACGGTTATTGTAAATAGAGATAACGTGCGGCGAACCCCAGGCAGTAGCGAATGGAGACAACAGCCTCAGCAACGGCAACCACTACGGCAGCGTGGCCACCTTCACTTGTAACCCCGGTTACAACATCACGGGCACCGCAACAATGACTTGTTCCCAGGACGACGTTACACCTTCGGTTGGGGTCTGGATCGGGACGAGGCCAGAGTGTTTGTGTAAGTGACGTCATCCTTATTAAAAGTTTTATTGATAGCCATCTTGGATTTCTGGTGCGCAACTATTTTTCATTCTCAAGTACCCAAAAAGACCGACTTTGCAGGCAAAGTTCATTGCTTGTGTTATTGACAGAACCGTACCTGTTATGTTGTCCGATTCATTTTGTAAATAATCTGAACCAGTTAATCCAGTGATTGACATTATGAGCACTGATTTACAAAATCAGCATACGAAGGCATATGTCAGCCAAGTCAGCGAGCCTGACCACTCGAGATCCCGTCAGTCGCCTCTAACGACAAGCATGGATTTACTGAAGATCAATTCTAACCCTATCTCTAGGTTGTAAAGCTTGAATATCAACATGAATACCTTTCATTCACCCTTTGTGGATACTATGTGGAATATCATGTGGTTTGAAACGTGAAATCTCATTCATTATGCTCCTTATCAACTTGTCAGTTTTGAATAACCTTTATAGCATTGCTTATGTGACACTGGCCATTTTCATTAACTTAAAGTTTATTTACAATGAAGTTACATACAGCTGAACACATCCTTAACGAGAGTTTAGAACTGATGTGTAGACACGTGTATCTGCCGTCATGTGTAGCGAGTAACCGGCTGCGCTGACCTTGTGTTTGGCTTTTCCATCCAGTCGCTGAATCCTGCAACAGCAACCCCTGCCAGAATGGAGCCACGTGTGTGAACGGCCTGGAGCTGTACACGTGTGTTTGTCCGCCTGGATGGTCAGGGGTCAACTGTGAAGCAGGTACGGCCTCCAACATATCTTGTCAAGTTAGGAAACACATGTTTATGTCCTAGGAATTGTCACCGACACAACTGGTGATGTACGAGTAAGTGAGTTTAGTGAGTGTAGTCATCACAAACAATCAATATGTGACTTTTCAAAACCCCACATCATTCGCTCAAGTTGCTTCAGGCGTGTTTGTTTGTTTGTTTAACGCTGCACTCAGATATCATCAAGTTATATGGCGGCGGTCTGTAAATATACGCGTCTAGATCTGGACCAGACAATCCGTTGAGCAACGATCTACGCAATTTGGTTACGAGGACATGTGCCAACAAAGTCAACGAATTTGACTACCCGATCCCGCCTCTTACGACAATTCTGGGTTCCAGAAGACCAATTCTAACCTGTACACTGACAAACTTTATGGATGAACAACTTCTTTATTCATGTGATGCGACGTTTTGATACAGATTCTTGTGCCGTTGTCAAGCAACCATACTTGCTCCACAACCATAGTTGCTTGACAACGATACAAGAATCTGTATCGAAACGTCGCATCACCTGAATAAAGAAGTTGTTCATCCATAAAGTTTGTCCGTATATTATTCTCCAGCTTCTAAATAATGTCACGCAAAGAAGCAATTCTAACCAGGATCTTCAGAGGTTCAGTCCCATAATTAGTAGTTGTGAAGACAAGACTTTTCAAGATAAGTATGTTGCCTGCTTCCTGCATATCTAGTCTAATGGAGCATATGGCATCGTACATTAACATACTGCCACCATACTGTCCCACTCGTCCGACAATATCAGTTTATTTCTTTTGATGACCATCCCTCCTTCAGACGTGCAACCCCCTGTAATGAGTGGCTGTGAAAACAAGACAGATCTCAATACAGCTGACCACCAACTGACCCACGAGTGGACAGTGCCAACCTTCACAGACCCACTTGATAACGAAGTCACTACGACATCCAACTACGTCAGCAACTCCTACCGCTTCCCCTGGGGCGACTTCTTCGTCCAGTACGTGGCCACCAAGACAAACAATGGTTTACAGAAGGAGTGCAAGTTTCAAATCAACGTCCGACGTAAGCTGTTTTGAAGGCTTCATAACCACCCTCTCTCTTTAATGTGTCAAGTAGCATCTAATGTTGTTATGGGATAATGTTTGTGCACTCGGAAACACTTGTCAACGGTCGTTTCATTTCAAACAAGAATTGTCTTATTGTGTGTCACACTTTTCAACAGGTGAACATGCTTTAAGTTACATAATGTGTTGTATCTAACTTACGAATACAATTTTTACACCCTGTGATAATGGTGCACTGACGATGCCTGAAAGTCATGACCGCTAACATCAGTTCTGACACAAGTTGTTAGGAAGTGTCTGTATGACATTCAGAGATACTGGGCTGACAGAAGACGTCACTGACATTACTTCACACCACGTCTGACACAAGACGTGACTGACATTACTTGACAACGTGTCTGACACAAGACGTCACTGACATTATCTCATAACGTGTCTGACACAAGACGTCACTGACATTACTTCACACCACGTCTGACACAAGACGTCACTGACATTACTTCACAACGTGTCTGACACAACACGTCCATGATATTACTTGACAACGTGTCTTACACAAGACGTCACTGACATTACTTCACAACGTGTCTGACACCGGAGGTCACTGACATTACCTCACACCGCGTCTGACACAACACGTCCCTGATATTACTTGACAACGTGTCTGACACAACACGTCACTGACATTACTTCAAAACGTGTCTGACACAAGACCTCACTGACATTACTTCACAACGTGTGATACAAGACGTCACTGACATTACTTCCCGACGTGTCTGACAGAAGACGTGACTGACATTACTTCACAACGTGTCTGACACCAGACATCACTGACATTACTTGACAACATGTCTGACACAAGACGTCACTGACATTAATACACAACCTGTCAGACACAACACGTCCCTGATATTACTTGACAACGTGTCTGACACAAGACGTGACTGACATTTCTTCACAACGTGTCTGACACAACACGTCCCTGATATTACTTGACAACGTGTCTGACACAAGACGTGACTGACATTACTTCACAACGTGTCTGACACAACACGTCCCTGATATTACTTGACAACGTGTCTGACACAAGACGTCACTCACTTTACTTCACAACGTGTCTGACAGAAGACGTGACTGACATTACTTCACAACGTGTCTGACAAAAGACCTCACTGACATTACTTCACAACGTGTGATGCAAGACGTCACTGACATTACTTCACGACGTGTCTGACACAACACGTCCCTGATATTACTTGACAACGTGTCTGACACAAGACGTGACTGACATTACTCCACAACGTGTCTGACACAAGACGTCACTGACATTACTTCACACCACGTCTAGCACAAGACGTCACTAACATTACCTCACAACGTGTCTGACACAAGACGTCACTGACATTACTCCACAACTTGTCTGACACAAGACGTCACTGACATTACTTCACAACGTGTGATACAAGACGTCACTGACATTACTTCACGACGTGTCTGACAGAAGACGTGACTGACATTACTTCACAACGTGTCTGACAACAGACATCAATGACATTACTTCACAACGTGTCTCACACAAGAAGTCACTGACATTACTTGACAACATGTCTGACACAAGACGTCACTGACCCTACTTCACAACGTGTCTGACACAAAACGTCATTGACATTACTTGACAACGTGTCTGACACAAGACGTCACTGACATTACTTGACAACGTGTCTGACACAAGACGTCACTGACATTACTTCACAACGTGTGATACAAGACATTACTTCACAACGTGTGATACAAGACGTCACTGACATTACTTCACGACGTGTCTGACAGAAGACGTGACTGACATTACTTCACAACGTGTCTGACAACAGACATCAATGACATTACTTCACAACGTGTCTCACACAAGAAGTCACTGACATTACTTGACAACATGTCTGACACAAGACGTCACTGACCCTACTTCACAACGTGTCTGACACAAAACGTCATTGACATTACTTGACAACGTGTCTGACACAAGACGTCACTGACATTACTTGACAACGTGTCTGACACAACACGTCCCTGATATTACTTGACAACGTGTCTGACACAAAACGTCACTAACATTACTTCACAACGTGTCTGACACAACACGTCCCTGATATTACTTGACAACGTGTCTGACACAAGACCTCACTGACATTACTTCACAACGTGTGATGCAAGACGTCACTCACATTACTTCAAGACGTGTCTGACACAGCAAATCCCCGATATTACTTGACAACGTGTCTGACACAAGACGTCACTGACATTACTTCCCAACGTGTCTGAAACAACACGTCCCTGATATTACTTGACAACGTGTCTGACACAAGACGTGACTGACATTACTTCACAACGTGTCTGACACAACACGTCCCTGATATTACTTGACAACGTGTCTGACACAAGACGTGACTGACATTACTTCACAACGTGTCTGACACCAGACATCACTGACATTACTTCACAACGTGTCTGACACAAGACGTCATTGACATTACTTCACAACGTGTCTGACACAAGACGTCATTGACATTACTTCACAACGTGTCTGACACAAGACATCACTGACATTATTTCACAAAGTGTCTGACACAAGACGTCACTGACATCACTTTACAGCGTGTCTGACACAAGACGTCACTGACATTACTTCACAACGTGTCTGACACAAGACGTCATTGACATTACTTCACAACGTGTCTGACACAAGACGTGACTGACATTACTTAACAACGTGTCTGACACAAGGCGTGACTGACATTACTTCACAACGTGTCTGACAGAAGACGTCACTGACATTACTTCACAACATGTCTGACACAAGGCGTGACTGACATTACTTCACAACGTGTCTGACACAACACGTCCCTGATATTACTTCACAACGTGTCTGACACAAGACGTCACTGACATTACTTCACAACGTGTCTGACACAAGACGTCAGTGATATTACTTCACAACGTGTCTGACACAACACGTCACTGACATTACTTCACAACGTGTCTGACACAACAGGTCCCTGATATTACTTCACAACGTGTCTGACACAAGACGTCACTGACATTACTTGACAACGTGTCTGACACAAGACGTCATTGACATTATTTCACAACGTGTCTGACTCAAGACGTGACTGACATTACTTGACACCGCGTCTGACACAAGACGTGACTGACATTACTTCACACCGCGTCTGACACAAGACGTGACTGACGTTACTTCACAACGTGTCTGACACAAGACATCACTGACATTATTTCACAGCGTGTCTGACACAAGACGTCACTGACATCACTTCACAACGTGTCTGACACAAGACGTCATTGACATTACTTCACAACGTGTCTGACACAAGACGTCATTGACATTACTTCACAACGTGTCTGACACAAGACGTCACTGACATTACTTCACAACGTGTCTGACACAAGACGTCACTGACATTACTTCACAACGTGTCTGACACAAGACGTCACTGACATTACTTCACAACGTGTCTGACACAAGACGTCACTGACATTACTTCACACCGCGTCTGACACAAGACGTGACTGACAATACTTCACAACGTGCCTGACACAAGACGTCACTGACATTACTTCACAACGTGTCTGACACAAGACATCACTGACATTACTTCACAACGTGTCTGACACAAGACGTCACTTGGACAGTATCATCGTTATGAAGGATGCTTTTTAAGAAAAATAATCCGCCTGAGAAAATCTTTGAGAATCCATTTTGTTATTTGGTTGAACATTAATTGCGTATTGAACAAGATAATGGGTTGTTGTACAGGCCAGACAAATCAAGATATTACGAGCAACGATGCACACGTGCAGAAAACGTTGACAACAAACCTGTCGACTTGGCCTATCTAGTCGCCTCTTACGAAATGCATGCGATGTTAGGCACCAGTTACAAACCTAAAACACGATGAAATGTCTTTACAATGCTGTCTTCATGATGTATTTATTATTAAAATTTCAGAGAAAGTGAACACGCTATCCAATAATAAGACAACAAATTATCTTCCACAGCCTATCCCTGTGACGAGCTATCCGTACCTACCTTTGGCTACGTGGCCTGCAATGGTTGGCGAACTGATTTTGGCCAATATTGTCTGATTGGCTGCAGAGCTAACTACACTCTACCACGTGACATTAGTGAAGACCGCTGGTATGTGTGTGGAGCCAGTGGGATGTGGTCATCTGATCCTGGGATGTTCCAGTGTGAAGGTGTGATCCTTTATCTAAATCACACATAATCTGCGACACATATACCTGGCACATATATTTGCTCCTGACACACACTTTAGCACTTAAAACATATCAAGACCCTATTTCTACTTTTATACCCCTGCAACGACGTGACTCAGTGACTTGTTAAAAAATTAATATATGTCTAAAATATCACAAATATCAGCTGTAACAGAGACATCACATGACACAAACAAGCAAGGAACGCGGTCGAAACGATGCTTAAAAAACTATTCACAATACTTCTCAGTAGATAGGTTTCTGTATGTAGGTATATTTGAATGCCACTTTGTGAAGAAAAATATATGCGTTCCATTAGAACACGGACGATGCATTTTAAAACAATGGTTGTTAATACCTTTAACTCAGTACACAGTTCAATATTTGAAGGATCAAGTGAAAAATCTCGACTCTGTGATGATCTATTATATATTGAATCTGTTAATGTGATGACAGGAAGTGTTCCTGAAAAGATCTCGTATTCTTCCCCACCGGTGGCACGACCAAAAATCACATGCAACGGCGTGTACAGTTGTATACTTTTAAAGCATGAGGACATATGGAGCAATCCAAAATAGAGATCCGAGCACGCGTCTTAGGCATTCCATAGCAATAGAACCGATCTGTCACTTCAGCCGTTCAATCATTTGAGCCTTCGCACTCATTACACTAAATGCATCCTCATACGACAACTGTTGCTAAAGCTTGTTCGTGCAGTTTGGTCGATATATGTGTCAATATGTGATCAATTATGAAGCATGTAGAAAGGAAAAGTTAATATTTGGTTATACATATCGATGGTATTTAACTGTCTCGCTTCAAATTTGATGATCGCATTGGTGTTTATTCGATCCTTTTAATCACAAAAGCATGAAGTTATAGTTTAAGCTTAATGCACGTCGGATTTTATGTGGAATACGTGTTTTTCATGGATTCTGGAGGCAGGACTATTCTGGACCATGATTACATATCAATAGTAGATTTACATGTAGTGAAACAGCAAGGGACACCGACAGCCTCGTCAAACACTATCATCTATGCCTACGATCCATTCTGTTTATAACATGTATTGTTTTGGAATTGTAACCCACGCAGGAAATGCAATCTCTTCACTATTACGCGCTGTGTTATACCGTGCTCAAGTTCACTTCTGACATTCCACTTGTATTTACATTATTGGCTAATGGATTCAGTTATATACTAAAAGTTGAAACGATTACTGTTTGTCAATACACGTTAACGTGTCATATTTCACCCCCTGTGGACTCCTATTATGAGACATGTGTTATTTCTATGTGGCAGCGAGGGGGTTAAATCGCTCTTAAATCTACGTGGAAGTCAGCGTATGCTGGCTAATTAGCCTCATTAACGAGAGTGTTTAAAATCTAGTTCAACAAGTGTATGTTTACATTTTGGCCCGGCGATAGTATAGGATATGATGGTGAATAGCGTAAACATGGTGCAATCTTTTAAAAAATAATTTCAAACAATAAAGTGCAAACTTACCCATGGTAACGACACATACATATCAACTGAATGGTGAACGATTTCAAAGGTCGAACGTGTAACGATGCAAATGCTGTGAGCTAAATGGTGAACGATTTCAAATTTAAAAACAGTTCAACTGGTATTTACATTTTTGCACGGAAATCATGTTGTTCTCACGTTAGAGAATACTAGAGTGAATAACATAAACAATGTTCCCTGTAACGTGGGAACGCTACGACATGACTGGTAACTTTCCGTGACGGAAAAGGGTGTGGGTCTCACGTTGAGAGGCTATCGCGTCACGGGTAACATTCCATGACGTACAGGGGGTGTGGGGCTTCCGGTCACGTGGGGACGCTATGACATTCCGGTCACCTGGGGACGCCATGACGTCATGTGGGATTTTCCATGACTTAAAAGGGGTGCGGTTTCCAGTCCCATGGGGACGCTATGACGTCACGGGATTTTCCGAGGGAGTGGGGCTTCTGGTCACGTGGGGACGCTATGACGTGACGTAGAAATTTAAGACTCAACAGGCGTCACTTCTTCTTATGGTGGAAAATATCAATTGTATGATTGGCTTTATTCGCCACCATTGTGTCAATACACGGGATGTTCTGGTGTATTTGTTGTAGATGTCGCCAACGTGCAGAGTATTTCCGGTGGCATCCTCGGCAGTCCTGACACTTGTGATGACGTCACATCCGTACAAGAACTCTACATCTCAGAACTGGAGAAATCTAACCATAATTCTGTGTGTCGAAAACACCACGACCTTTGTAGTGCAGAAAATGTTAGTGTGAGATGTCGATGATGTAATGCCCAAAACGCAGATTGACCAATTACTTGTATAATGCATTTGACAATGAAGTTCAAAATCTGATGTAAAAGTCCTGCTGGTTATTCATATTCACCGAAAATGGAAATATTTTGGCTGTATTGCGTCTTTATTTTCCTATATTATTGGTTCGGTGAATGAGTGAGTGAGTAGAGTGGGTGAGTGAGTGAGTGAGTGAGAGTGAGTGAGTGAGTGAGTGAGAGTGAGTGGGTGGGTGGGTGGGTGAGGAGTGAGTGGGTGGATATGTGGGTGGGTGAGTAGTGAGTGAGTGAGTGTTTGCTTTCAGCAATATCACGGCTGGGGACACAAGAAATGGGCTTCACATATTGTACCCATGTGGGGATCGAACCCGGGTCTTCAGCCCCCCATCGACAATCAACGATGCTCTAGTGTTTAAAGAATATATACTGACATAGTGGTAATAACCTCATTAAAAAAGAGGTTGATGATCATGGTCAGTACCACACATATATGGTGAGGTGAGGTGAGGTGAGGTGAAATGAGGTTTAACGTACTTAACATACTTAAGAATATTTCGCTCATATGACGACGTGCATGCGTGTGTATGTGTATGTGCGGCTGCTTGTACTAGCCCAGACTTAAGCTGTTTATATAGTGCTAGCTCACTGGGATACCATGCAGCAGTTAAGCATGAATACCCCACTCAGACAGATTGTACTAACTCCTAGCCGACCAGTCCTTGTTTTACCCATTAATGCCGAGCGCTAGGCAGGGACCAGCATGTACCGTATTTTATCGTATTTTGGTATGAAGGGGCCGGGGATCGAACCCGCGACCTTCCGCTCTAACCACTACACCACGGAGGCGATCACATATATACAACATATTGACACTACATTAGTATATAATACAGTAACCTTCTCGTCAAGTGCGGTTTTACGTTCATCTGGCCGTCACATATGTGTCGAACGGTCGAACAATTTCACTGATACGAGTTGTCGCCCCTAGCAGTATGGTCCTGCAGATTCCGCTATCTGTGATTCACCCGTATCAATATCATGACATGTTTTGTCAATCTGAAACCTTAAAAACAGGGCTGGAGCACAATAAAATCAAACAACAGATGCATGAAAGACATAAAATACCCAGCATGTGTGTTTCCATGACGAAGTATGTCAAGCATTTACGGGGCGGTGGGTTAGCCTAGTGGTTAAAGCGTTCGCTCGTCACGGCAGGATACGCTCACCTTTTTGCAAACACCTCGTATCATCACGATTTCATAATGAATCAGTAATACGTGCTTTCGATATTATAGAACTCGTACAATCAATTCTACTTTAGTTACAAATTTAATATGATTGTGGGGGCGGTGGGGTAGCCTAGTGCTTGAAGCGTTCGCTCGTCACGCCGAAGACCTTGGTTCGATTCCCCACATTGGTACGATGTGTGAAGCCAATTTCTGGTGTCCCCCGCCGTGATATAACTGGAATATTGCTAAAGCGGCAAAAACTAGTGAGTGAGTGAGTGTATATAGTTTTACGCCACACTTAGCAATATGCCAGCTATATGGCGGCGGTCCGTAAATAATCAAGTCTGGACCAGACAAGCCAGTGATCAACAGCATGAGCATCGATCTGAGCAATGGGGAACAGATGTCAACCAAGTCAGCGAGCCTGACCACCCGGTCCCGTTAGTCGCCTCTTACGACAAGCATAGTCGCCTTTTGTGGCAAGCATGGGTTGCTGAAGACCTATTCTACCCCGGATCTTCACGGGTCCGGCGCAAAACTAAATTCACTCACTCAAGCAATAATAGTCCGTACACTTTTCATGTAACCAAAGCGGTAGCGTTACAATATCCACACTACAACAATGTCGGACAGATGTTCTTCCTGTTAAGGAATAATCTGCTTCTGGCGAAACTATGATTGTACATTTATGGATTTATAGTAAAAGGATTATGAAAGTGGTAGTGTACCTTATCTCAATGTCATGAAACACTACGAAACTCTCAGTATGTGTGTGTAAAACCCTTGACAGACATACAAATCATGTCATTTTAATGATTATCACCATGAGACTGAACAAATAGTATTCTCCCAGACAGTGTTTAGCACCGGGAAATTTCATCACGTTGAGTTCATATTGCTCAGCTGGTACATTTGGTGTTAAATGGCAGTGCTTTGTGTACATGTTTTTCTAACCCAATGAACACGTGCAATACTGTCGGTTCAAACAATGGACATTTCAAAGGGACGCTTTGAAACGATGCTCGTTCTTTTATGTTCTATGTTCGATCAGTTAGGTTTGTAAACATACTTTCATTTCTTTCTTGTCTCCTGAATCAATAATTATAATGAACACCCGCACCTGGTATAGGTTCGCCCCACGAATGTACCGTTCCGCGAGGCTACTAAGCTGCATTGTGACAGTTGAGTGAGTTGTGTTTTACGCTGCACTCAGCAATATTCCAGCTCTATGGCACTATACAGTACAGAGTTAACGTGGAAGGTCACCTGTTGCAGAATATGCTTGATCATCTCGTTTTCAATGGCGATTTTTTATTGGTTCCCAGGATTACAATGTCATGATATGTAGAACAGTGATGTACAGACAGATGGATGATGTACAGGTATTATGTCAATATCATGTTAATACACATATATAAGTCAATAAAAGAGAAATATGACCTCAGGTAAATTGGGTACATTTTAAATTCATCAAAGTACTGGGAAGAGAAGACCCCATTTATGATTGAAATCTTCTATTTTATTATTTCTTTTGCATATATGGTTTTCCACAAAGAATATTTCTTTCAAAGTTTTTATAAATAGAGTTATGTTTGGATGCGTATTTTTAATACTGCATACGTAAATGTGTCTTTTTGCTGCAATGATGATGTGATTTAGTAATATATTATGATGTAGAGTACCAAACCAAACCATATGTTTTGATAATAGCAGTGGATGAGGGTATAAATTGTTAAGCCAAATTTGTAGGTTTTTCCAAAAAGTTTGTGTCTCCTGACATTCCCAGTACACATGACAAACACTCTCATTTAGATCATTGCAGAAACAACATAGACTGCTATCAACCTTTTTCATCTTAAGCAATTCTCTTTTTGTATAAATAACTCCTTGTAGAAATCTATATTGAAAATCTAAAAGTTTTGTGTCTTGCAATCCTTTTCTGTATGCTGTAAATATATTTTTCCAATCAAAGTCTATTTCAGGAAATAGCAGCTGCCATTTATTACACATATTTGGGTGTATATCATTGGAAATAAGTTTATCATAAAAATTCCTGCAGCCTTTAGATGTTTTTACTAGATATATCTGACATTGGTTAATATTTAAATCCCTGACTGGTATTAAATGACAGTGGTTAAGAGTATTTTTCCAAGAGTCAGGTAATACATGTAGTAAATATTCATAATCTAAAAAAGTGCCTTTGATACCATATAATTCTTTTAAAGATTCTATTGACAATAATCCAGTTTCATCACAAATATCCCTAATATTTATAATCCCTTTATCTGCCCAGTTCTTTATGAAGTTTAATGAATTTTTAAAATTATGATTAAACCATAATGGTTGGGATAGAATTTCATTAATGTTATTAGGGTCAATATAATGTTTTTTGTGGAATAGTTGCCATGCTTTTAGCACATCACGCCAAAAAGGATTTTCAATCTTAAAGTAAGTTTCAGAATTTGCTCCAAAATTAAATATGTCTTTAAAAGGTATATTGCATGGATTATTCTTATCACCTCTTTTGAAATACTGTCTTAAAGTAGATAATTTCAAAGCGTCTATAAATGTTTTTGCATCAATCATTCTCAAACCTCCTTCTTCATAGTTGTTTTTAATTACATTCCTTTTTATTTTATCATTCTTGTCATTCCAAATAAATTTAAAAAAACATTTTGTCAAGGGACGTGATAAATTCTGCTGGTGGGTTTGGCAAGGAATTGAAAATATGGACCAATTTGGAGATTGCTAGAGTTTTTATTACTGTTATTTTACCAATAAGTGTTAAATTTCTTTTTCTCCAAGATGCTAAGAGTCTATTAATTCCCTCCAGTCTCTTTCTTGTGTTGATTACCCATAAGTCTTTAAGATCTGGTGTAAATTTAATACCTAGCACATCAAATTCACCAATTACCCATTCAATTTTCAGATCATTACATATTTTATCCATAGATTTAGCTTTGGATCCAATCCAGATTGCTTTTGATTTGTCTAAATTAATTTTCAAGCCTGACATTTTGTAAAACTTATTAATTGTGTCAATAGCAGAGTACAAACTCTCTTCAGTTCCATCAAGAAATAGTTCAGTATCATCGGCATATTGATCCAGTTTATATTCATTATCATTGATGACAATACCTTTGATGTTTTCATTATTTCTTATCATGCAACCGAGAATCTCAGCCACAAAAAAGGAAAAGATATGGGGATAGTGGGTCTCCCTGTCTACATCCCCTTTCATTTGCAAAGAACTCGGATAGATTACCATGTTGGATAACACAAGATGTTGTTTCATAGGTTAATATATTTATCCATCTTATCATTTCAGGGCCAAATTCAAGTTTATGTAAAACCAGGTTGATAAAATCTTTTGAAACAGTGTCAAACGCTTTTTCAAAGTCAATCAGAATCAGCAAACCAGGAATGTTTTGTTTCTTTGTTTCAAACATTATATCATATAACAATCTTGTATTTTCACTAATAGTCCTACCCGGTATAAAACCAGTTTGGTTAGAGTGAATAAGTTCATCTAAAGTAGTTTTTAATCTATGTGCAATGCAGGAGCTGATAATTTTATAAATAGCATTAAGTAAAGTGATTGGCCTCCAATTTTAAGTAATGTTCTATCTTTTGGGGGTTTTGGAATACAGGTGATAACACCCCCTTTTCATATTCAAAGACATTTCATTTTTTGTTGATACTTCTTTAATAAATCTATAGATCCAAATTTTTAATTCTTTCCAATTTTTTTTAAAGAAATCAATAGGAAATCCATCAATCCCTGGGCTTTTATTATTCTTCATCCTGTAAACAGCATTGCTAATTTCATCCAAACTGATTTCTCTTTCAAGATAATCTCTTAGTGTTTTGTTTAAAGTTGGAGTTTTAATA